GCATAATTTTGAAATGGTAAACATAACGCTCAGTATTTCTTTCAGACTTTTTTTTTCCTTTGGCGTGGCGTTTGGCACTTGAATTTTTCGGATAGGGATGGGGGGGGGGGGGAAACACTGGTAAAAGTATATATTTTCTATATAATATATTTCGTTATTTCGTTCGTGTGGGTGGGGTGGAGGGGGGGGGGGGGTAGGAATTAGTCGCCCCTCCCATCGGAAGATATTCTGGAAAAGAAACTCAAATACAGCTACCCAACTTTAGAAGACTAGTAGCTGTAAGAGCTTACACCAGGGGCGGAACTACAGTGCCGCCAGACCGTGCAATGCGGGGGGGGGGGGCAGGCCGTTTAGGGGCCCACAGCCGACCATAATCAATTTTTTTATAGTTAAAAAAATTATTTCTTGTAAAAAAAACAGATCTTCACACGCTGTTTCGTAAAAAAAATATAGGCAAACGTTCAAACCACTTCCATTACTTATTTCTCTTTATTAAATAGTCAAATAAATGTGCTCTTAATTAGGAAACTTTTTTTTTGCACTAAACAAATTAAAAAGCAATTACTTCTAATAATTATTATTTTAAATAAACATAATAAAGAATGACATAGTAAAAAAAGGAAATATATTAAAAACTAATAATATAAATACAAAAAAACTTTCAAATAAACATAAGGCGAGAAAACCACTACACATACAAAGCTTTCATGCTTCATATTCTTTGACCGAAACGATACGTCAGGAAGCACTATGTCAAGCAATGAAACAGAGAATTTCAAAACAGACTCACACAAATGATGTGCTGTAACATATTTTAATAAAAATATAAACTAAGAATGTTTAATTTTTTCAAATTTCGAACAAGCCCGTATTGAGTAATGTTCATATTTTCGTATTTAGTTTATATATATATATATATAATATATATATATATATATATATATATATATATATATATATATATATATATATATATATATATATATGAGGCCCAAAACAATTTTTTTTGCAGGGTGGCCCTATTTTCTAGTTCCACCACTGGCTTACACTTAAGTACTCCACATCTCAGTCAATCACTAATTAATTAAGCATTCAAATTCTCAAATATTTAAGCGAAACTAGACAGTATGTATAGTAATGTATATAATTTGGTTTTTCTAATAGGTCTTGGTAGCCTGTGTTATTTTAATGTGCAGGAATTTTAGCTATTTAGTTATTTCTTTGCTTTGTCACTAATATTGTTCAATGTGTAGTAAAACACATTGCGTTTTGGCCAAAAACTATTTTATAAATATTTTTCTCAAACAATTATAATATTAAAATATATAGGCCTATAATTCACGTGTATCAGGTACCGATGGCTAGTCACTTTTTAAACTTAAACGAACTCGAACTAAAGTTTTTGATAAAGTCAAAGAAAAAGTAGAAGCAAACATGAGCAGAACAAAACGTACTTTAAACTATTAAGTTTTTGCCCTAGTGCATTTTTGTATCGACATATTTTCTGGTATTACTGCGATGAAATTTTCAGATTTCTAATTAGCACACAGTGATTAGCGGCTCAATTAAACGCCTTGGGCGAACTATTAATTTATGCATTTGGTATTTACATTGTCTTTATTCGTCAAGATCGTACGCGCTATTGGCATATATTTAAATTACAATTTTTACGTGAAGACGAGTTACCTCTCTTGTAAAGAGTTTATTTCCCATTACTAACGTACATTGCCGTCGTTCTTGTTGTGGCCTAACTTTCTAAAACACCTTTCAGGATGGAGACACGGCTTTACACATTGCGGCCCGTGTCGGCAACTACAACACAGCACAGGCCCTGCTTCAGTGTTCAGCTGATCTCAATATAAGAAATAAGGTCCGTTTTTAAATCAGCTTTTTGTTTCTTTCTAATGGGTACATCTGCGTTCACGAACTAGTCAGTACCGTATCGTATGCCTTTACTACTGCTATAGGTGACTTTTTTCTCGGGGGGGAGGGCACTTGAAATTTTCGGGGAGGGGGGAGGCGGACTAAAATTTCCGGGGGACAGACACTGGTAAAAGTATATATTTTCTATATAAATTCCCCCGAAAAGATGACTGGAAGAAACTCATGTTTGAACGGGTGGTGTATTTTTACTTTAGTTACTATTGTTACAGTTCGGATTAGGGTCAGAATTGTGACTAGCACAAAGGTTATGACCCCTAGAAAAATAGTATGTGTACTACAGCATTTACAAACAAAAGCACTTTTTAAAAAAAACCCACTTAAAATGCTAAAGAAATTGTAATAATAACATTACAAGCGCACTAATAAAAGAGGAAGGGAGTGGCCGGACGCAAGAGCTCACGATTATTCACTTGAAAGTCTCTAGTTCGAATTCCGATCTAACAAAAACTGAGCAACAATACTGCATTTGTTTTTGTTTTGTTTTTTTAATTTCTTTTTTTTTATACTGATATACTAATTGATATATTCCCATTATCTCCTTTGGTCGTACACAGATTGGACAAACTCCTCTTGACTTAGCTGAAGGAAAAGTGCGAAAACTTTTAGAGAAATCCGAGGTAAAACAAAATCATTTTTAATCTTCATTGACCCACAATTTGTATTCGTTATAATGCTATTTTCCCACGTTTTCTTTAACTTGCTTTCGTCTCTGTTTTTCCGATCAAATCTTGCGATCGAAATTTCAGGCACTTTCCAGTTAGCTAGCGCGCTGAAATTTTCAGGGAAGCTTTGTTTTGGATGACAATAGAATATTCAATTGTTATTATTACTAAATTGATCAATGGAAAGATTTTATTGAGCATTTTAGACCGCTATATAATTGTAGTAAAAACGTGGGGAAAAAGGGACATCACCCAGTAACTGTAATTTGATGAAAACAAGGTTCGGTACTCTCCCTCTTTGCTTACTGAGTAGTGTTCACGCGGTGTTTGTGTACAAACAACCGTAACAACTGGTGGCCAGTATGGGGGAGACGATATGGTCGAGTGGTTGGGCACACGATTGCTATCCCACTCGACACGGGTTCAAATCTATGTGTTCTAGTCAGTAACGTATTCACACAACGTGTTTTTTACGAGTTGTCTTCGTTTACCCAAAAAAAAGTGAAAAGATAAAATCGATAGCAAGATTTTAATGCAAACAAACAGACAAAGACTAAAAAGTAGAAAATAATAATCATTAAAAAAGTTTTTAAAAACCCACGTTTTCTGATTGAACTAAAAAGTAGAAAATAAATGCTATACATCACAATAATGCAAGCGATCACTCTACTATAAGCGATCAAAAACGTGGGGCGCCGTGATTTTCTTACAGTTTCTAATACTGTTGACTCTCTACAAGCTCCCTAATAAAAGTCAATAGTATTATCTAATCAATAGTAATATAAATTTTACTTCGGCGCCCCACGTTTTTGATCGCTTATAGTAGAGTGATCGCTTGCATTATTGTGATGTATAGCATTTATTTTCTACTTTTTAGTTCAATCAGAAAACGTGGGTTTTTTAAAACTTTTTTAATGATTATTATTTTGTATATTATGTTTAATCTTCATGGTTCGTATTCATAGCAATTTTTTTTATATTATATGCTTCATTTTAAATATATTATTTGTTTCGCAACTGGCTAGCCAGGTGTTTATGTGGCGCTGAAGAAAGGAAACTCAAAAATATTGTCCAGAATCTTGAAGTATACCTGGTGTAGTGTAAACAACGTGGTTCAGGTATGACCTTATAGTAAAGAATTAAATTATTAAGGTAACCTTATGATCGCTGGAAGGTTCGTGTCGAATGAGTTGTTATGCTAGTGCTAGTGTAACAACCTCAATCCTGGCTCTAACTTACTATACTTCATTTGTCTGTTTTGCTTAGGATGATATGAGCCTCCTCAAACTGGCGCAGTCCAAAGCTGATGAAGATGTAGGGGTGTCAGCATGCTACGATGTTTTGATGAACTTTAAATCAACTAGTGTAAGTAAACCAAAAGGGTATTAAATATTTATATATATATATATATATATATATATATATATATATATATATATATATATATATATGGTGACCAGAAAGATGTGCAACGGAAAAAAGCGCATCTTTCTGGGAATCTATATATATATATATATACACATATATATATATATATATATATATATATATATATATATATATATATATATATATATATATATATATACATTCACAGCTTGGTGTATATTTTTCTATATGCAGGAATTTGTACATGCTGTTCTCTCAGAAGATGTAGATTATCTGCGACGGGTTATATCATCTAAGCGAGGTTGCCCTGTGAATATAAGATACGGGGTAATGCTCTTTCACTGACATGTGTTGGTTTCTTTTATGTTTGATGGGGTAGGGAGGTGGTTACTTTTTATCATGGAACATTCTAATCTCGCGCGCTTCTTGTGCTTATCGACTTATATACCGTATATATAATTTATGTAGAAATCACATACTTCAATCAGCGCCCCTACCTCCAAATAGTCTTAAGCTCCCTTCCCCCCCCCCCCCCCCCCCCCCCCCCCCCCCACCCCCCCCCCCCTCCCTTAAATAAAACCCTGCTCAATTGCATTTCCTAATTTCTATGTTTTGAGTCATGGTGGTTTAGGACTTCTTCTAATTCAATACAAAAATTACGTAATTTTTATGTATAGTCTAGAATGTGAGTTAATCCTTTTTTTTCCTACAGGGTAGAAAGGGCAGGACCCTGCTTTGTTTTGCTATAGAGAGCAACAACATCGAGATGGTGAAGCTACTGGTTGGCGCCGGAGCACGTGTAAATAATGTCAGGGTCACTGAATATGGCTGGGTTGGTTAAACTATTGTAGTTTTATATTTTTGTGATAACTCTTGTTTTAAATTTAGCTGGTTTTCATAAATCACCATTAAAATATAGTTTTAAAATCCCAGTTGTCGGTCCTTAGCAGTAACAGTAACTCTACATTTGCGTTTGGGTTGCCTCCCCTAGCTAATAATAAATAGATAATCATAATTTTAATATTTTATTCTATGCTTCTTACGGTCAAATTATTTGTTTAATAAAAATAATTTTATTACTGTTTTCTTTTTTTTCAGAGTCAACAGACAATACCGTTAATTCAACTAGCCTTAAAACCAAACACGAATCCAGATATCCTATATTACTTGTCGTCAGTTCAAAATACTGTTGCCGAATTGAATGAAAAAGATCAGGTACTCTAGTAGTTTGTAGTAGTACTTTACTTAGTACTTACTTTCTTAAGTTATTACTTAAGTACTAGACACTACTAGATATCTAGATCTAGTAATTGTTATTTCTAAATGTGACCATCACAATGGCTTAGTGAAGCCACTGTGTAATGCAAAGTAAATTTCCCTTTCAAACTTTCAAACCTAATGCCTAATAATGGTCTACGGGCAAGTGAAGTAGAGTTCACCTGTTTCCTGTGCCCAGCCACTTTACTTACCCTAATTGAGTAACTCTAACGCGAGTTAGGTACCCATCAGAGCTGGGTTGACTCAGGTACGGTCTACTGACTTGAACCTGGATTTGCACTCAAGGCTTACTGGTTAGCAGCCAGCTCTCTACCGCTAGGCCACTCTGTCTCTATTCATTGTGTAATGTAGTGCAATATATTAAATATATAGATCTATGTACATGATATAAGAATTTATATCTTAAACTTCTCTTACATCCAGTTTATTATTATTACTGTTCTTAGGTTATATAATTTATAATAAATATGAATAATATGTAGCTTTTTTTTAAAAAAATTACCTACTCTGAGAGTTAAAAATTAAAATTATTATATAAAGAAAAGCTTTAAACCTTATATAAATCAAAGCTTGTAATGAGGTAGCTATAAAAATGAAAACGCAACATTAGTTTCAATATTGTTTTGTATTCCAGAACGGCAACTCTGCACTGCTTAGAGCTATTGAAGAAGACGCAAGTCCAGAGGTTATAAACTGGTTACTAGAAGCTAATGGAAATTTGCTACTTCACCGAAACATTGTAATACTGTTTTCTAATCATCTTTGACTTTGACCATTCTTCAGCTTTATTCTTTACAGTAGCACCACAAGTGGGAGGGGAGGCTGACTACAGGGAGTTACAGCTAATTTTAATGAGAAAGTCTGTTTCTCCCTATTAGTTTAATTTTAATAACTTATAAGGACCATATACCTCAACAGCCATAGGGTGATACCATCATCTGTGATGGAGTTAATGAACAACTTCTCATTGTTTAAGCACATCCAATCTATAGTCGATTGAGGAGGGGATGACACTCTAGCCTAGGTTAATAAATAATGTATGCTGATTGAGAAAGCACTTCTTTATGGCAATAGAAACAGCAATAGAGTTATGGGTGCTAGAAGGAAACTCTTGAATATACAACTAATATGCTTTTTTTATCAGCGATCCCAACATGCAAGAGAGGTTGCTGTTATAAAGAAACGGGATGATGTCATTCAGATAATAGATAAGGTACATCCAACAATTGCTTAATTTGACTGTGTTAAAATTATCATAAATTAAGAACAAATTTATACAATAAAAAAATATATTTAAAAAAATTAATAAATCTGAGTAGAAGTAAAATATTTCCTAAATAAATTGTATTTTTTAAATATAAATATAATTTACTTAACAGTAGCTAAGAAATTATTTAGATTTAATTTATAATTATTCTAATTTTATTAATTTTTTTCCCCCAAGTAATGTTATCATATTAATTTATATGTTTTTTATATTTTAGTTTCTCTTGCAACAAATTGGAAAAGGGTTGTTTTTTAAGCTGGCAGTTCATTTTTATGGTCTTGAAAACCTTCAATTTAAAGATAAGGTAACCCATACTATGAGCATACAAAATGATAGTTTTTCTATTAAAAAAGAAGGCTACTGACTTATGACCTTTATATCAAAACTATAAGAAATGATTGTCTGTTATAACCACCCCAGCAATCACAATTGATAGGAGAAACTATATTTTACCATTTTCTTGAATGTGTATTAAATATGCATTTGGTACAGTGCATTTTAAAAAAATGTATTTTTACTTTATAATGTATTCAATGTTGTCTAGGCAACAGGACTCACATTGATACAGACATTGGAGAAGAAAAAGAGTGCAGACGACATGAAGACTTTAAGGCATTATTCCAATATTGAGGTAACAATAACATTGAGTCTGCATAATATTATGGTTATATACATTCATTGTTGAGCTTTATGAAGTCTATACATTAGTTCATAATATTCCCAAAAAAAATAATTGGTTAAATAAACTGTAAGGAAAGTCTTGCAGTTGTATAAATAGTTTTTCATTATAACAGAAAAAAGGAAAAGAATTATTTGAAGCTGTTTCTATTGGTGATATGGGAGCAGTTAAAAAGCTACCTATGGCAGATTTTCAAGATAAGGTATTTAATTATTTATTTTTTATCTATTAATTTACTGGTTGTTTTTTTTTTTTAAATCTGCTTTTATTGCATGACTTCCAATATCTTTGTTGTTTATTTATCAATTATTTTAGTATTTTATTCATTTAGGTTTAGTAAAAATGATATTACTATTTTAGTAATTAAGTTTTAGTAAAAAAAAAAATTATCTTTTTTAACATTCATCAGAACGGCTACACTGCACTTATAAAGGCCATTGTTTTCAATCAACCAGAAGTAGCCAGATTTCTCATCACCATCAGACCCCAACTAAAATCTATTCCAGACAATGTGTGTATTATTCTATTTACTATATGTTAACTAAATAATCTAAATTTTTAAAATCTGAATAGAAAGAAAATTATCTTTACATACATACAGAGATAATCCCATCCATTATTACTAAGAATATTAGCATCAAGAAGTCTAGTTAAATAATTTGGCAGGGTCTATCAAAAGTTCAGGCTAAGCAGATGGTGATGGGTGCAAGAAATACTTGATTCCAAACTCTAGCAGCCTTTCAACCTTCAGAGCATAGCTGGTAATAGTTTAATATGAAAAGATTTTTATTTTTTCTGCTATGATCTAGACATCTTAGGTATGAAAACATCTTTTAATATTATCTATACCTTAACTCTGAGAATATCTATATATATAATTCTCTTCTGGGATCAGTTAGAAAACAAGCTGCAAGCGCCTCCTTGCAGTCCCCTCTCTTTCTCTCTATCACTATCACTACCACCCCCACCCCACCCCAACATTGTCTGGTGAGCGGTGTTCACTCTAAATTTTTACAAAGCTAAATGTTTACAAATCGTAGAGCCGTACAGCCGGGTTTCTATTAGGGGCAGATAATTTAGTTCGATTTTAAACTTTTTTGAGGTAACTGAGAAATATCTAAGAGGAGGCTGCTTTCTCGGGGGGGGGGGGGGGGGGGGGGGTAGGGTCGGGGTTAGGGGAAAGGGGGGGGGTAGTGTTTTAAAGCAAATATTTTCAGTGGCAGCATTGGTACTGTCGAATTTACAAATTATGAATTACTGAAAAGTAGAAAATAAAACAACTAAATAGATGCGTATGATACGCTGCGGGTCGGCTCGTTCTGTTTATTTTAAGAATTTCTAAATGATTTTTCACTGGGTACCACTATCCACAATGTGTGAAAATGAAAATTATTTTGCAATATTAATAAAAAGTAGCTTTTATAAGTACCCAAATGAGAACTGATCCCACAACAAATCCATCATTATGTAAATGTTGTTTAGAGATGATTAATCCAAGCACAAATGCAAAATGTATGTAACTGAACCAACAAACAAAATTAATATTACTGAATTAAATTGATTGCCCAAATTCTAAAAAAATGAACTAAAAAAAAAACATTTTCAGAGCAATAGATACCCACTTCACTACGCCTTTGCACTTCCAGAATCTGAAAGTATAGAATTTGTTAAAATGCTACTAGAGAATGACCCAGAAGAAATTGAAATGAAATTTGACAAGGTAACAATAGAAATTCATATACTATTTACATTGCTGCCACTGTTTTAAATAGACTGTTCAATTTAAATTGAGTTTCATTAGGATAATCAGATAATCAAGTTTCTTAAATTTTTAAATGCTTATAACAAGTAAATAGGCCTAAATATTACTATATACCTTATGTACTACTTGTAGATATTTTATTTTTGTGTTGCTAGTTTTGTAAACAGGTAAGCTCATTTCTGATGGAATTTGAAACTTAAAACAAACTTTCATTATAGTAGGCCTACTGGTTATTTCTATTTGGTTTCCATCACAGGATGGAATATTTCCAGCAGAATACATCAACCTGAGAGAAACAGACAAAGTCATGGAGTTGTTAAACGATGCCAGAACATTAGACGTGTATGGCGTTAAGAATAAGTCATTAGATTATTGGAATCATGAAAATGAAATACAAAAAATTGACTCAGCTAGTATTAACAGGGTAAGTAGCCTATTAAGAAGCAGTTCTAGAAATACTGGAAGCCTTAGTTATGCTATGGGTATTACTGGTTGCTTAATTCCCTGAAATGCTGGCAATGTGTAATCATGAAAGGTATGTTTTGCTCACTTATTAACTAACTATTTATGCAGGAATAAAAATAAATTCTCTTGTAATAACAGTATAGACATACTGCCTTACTAAATCATAGAGCTTGTGTGTTCACTGTGTAGATTATACTAATACTAAAAAATGCTAGTCTATTTTTGTTATAAATACATATTAGGAAACAAGCCAATGTGCAATATAAGTAAGAAATTGCTATATACATTTTTGTCATTTTAATAATATGTACATAAAAAATAACCACTGTATCACAAGGCTGCATGCTTTCATCAATGATCTTTTTCAAAGTCATTAACTGAATCATGATAAATACAGCCTCAGACCAAAAAGCTGGAATTCAGTGAACCCTTACTAAACAGTAAACAGCTAGACCTGCTAGAGGACCTAGATTTTGCAGATGAAATCATCCCACTCTAACACTGACAGCAGCTTACCCTGTCCAAGCTAAGCAAAGTCTGTGAAGAAGCATTTAAGACAGGCTTACAGATCAACAGGAAAAACAGACATGATGAGAATGAACAAACAAAGAGTTCCCATTCAGGATACAAGAAATGACTATTTCGGAGGTGAATCGCTTCACATAACTAGGAAGTGTAGTGAATGGGTAGCATTAGCAAGGCTAGGCACGCACTCATCACAACCTGGACATGATGAACTCTGTGCCTACACTGTCCAAAATAGACTTTTTAATGATAACAGCATTGTGAAATCTGTTCTCTAATGGTACGTGAAGATGAAGCTAATTAACAAACTTCAGATTTTCATTAGCAGATGTATGTGCCACACACTGAATATCAGGTGGTTTTAAAACGATTCCTAATGCTGAAGTGTGGTAAAAAAACTGAGCAAGATTCTACAAAAAATACAACCAATGGGGATGGATTGGGCATAAACCAATTAATTAGCAGACACTAAATCCCCAAGATGTAGGCCAAAACAAACTCTGAAAAGATCAGTGAAGCAGCTGGAATGATGTGGAGGAAACTAGGGGAATTGCTAAACTGATGGAGAAGTGTTGTGTCCCTATCCTCCTTAGGAATGATTATGTACACAAAATACATACCTACTAATAATGCAATCAATTACTTGCTAGTACTCTAGAAGAACATAAAAACCATTTATAAATAATGTGATTGTCTAAAGATCCACTCAGCTGTAGCACAACTATGCAAATTCCATCTAAATCATGATTTGTTTTATTTCAGGATTTGTCTACAGTGAGCTCACTTTTTGCTGAACATTGCAATGATGCTCAATTTTATCAACACTAACTGGTTTAAATTCTTCAAAATAGATCGTATTTTTACTACAACTTGAACCATACTGCTATTAATAATTACAATGCAATATTTCATGTACTCAGATTGTCACCAAACCAGTTTTCATGTCACATTAAATTTTTCATGTATATAGTGGTTTACTAAATGTTTTCACTTTCATTTGACTGTTTCACACAGCTTAGTGTTCTAAAAAAATTGTTTTACTTTTACTAAAAAATTATTACTAGAGCTACAAATCTCAGTGAGTCAACATGTCTCCGAAGTTGTTATAGCAACCAGAAATTAATCTAAAGGTCAAAAGCCCAACCTTTTTAATAGTTCCAAATTCTTGAGTGCTTATCTTAATTTTTTTTTGGACCAAAATACCAAAACAAGTTAACACTCAACCTAAAGGTAATGTGGTAATGGTTGCTAGCCTGAATATCTGGTTAATATTTGTTTGTACTGACAGGACCTTTAGTTCACCAAACTCTAATGGTACCTGGCTGGGCAGTGCTGACAACACAATATCACTTTGTCATGAACATGTATTCTACTTACAAATTGTATGATCCTGAACAGATTACAAGAGCAGAACCCTACAACTGATCAATACACTAAATACAATTACTTTTCTCACTGGTTTTAGTAACTGTCATATTGAATGAACACAATCACAAACAGACTTGTATCATACAGTTACCCTGAATACAGCCGAACTAAATAAAAACAAGAAACAAAATCAGCAGAAAATTAAAATATATTTTAAAATGTATTTTAACGCTTTCTGCGCATAGATACAGTATTGTTTTTGCGCCAGTTTCTTCTTCTGGAGCCACCAGTAGTTTTGTTGAACAAATGCCCTTTGCCAAGACCACGAGAAGACTTTCCAGCAGAGGTAAGACCACGCAGCTCTCTGTGTTTGTGCACTGGGTTGCAGATCCATTGGATGGCAGGATCACGTCTGATTGTCTTGTGGAATGGGTCCACTAGAATTACCTCAAAGAACTTGTAGGTAGAGTCTTGACCTACCCAGTAAGAGTTCAGTACACGAAGTCCTCCACATTTGCGACCAACACGTTCCTAAAGAGAAAAGTTTTTACTTGTTAGTCTTACACATAAATATCTAAAAATCAAGCATTTGAAATACGTATTGATCAGAGTTGAATAATTGTCCTCATAATATTTCGGAAGACCATCGTGATAAGACTCATCATTTACAATGCAAGAAAAGTGGTATAAAAAAAGTCCAAGACATAAAAAATCAGTTACCTCAGCCACGTTTCTCTGGTTACGCTGGAATTTCAGCTGGTTAACACCATGGGTTTTGGGTTTACCGTAGGTACAACCTTTGGGAACTGGGCGTTTGCGACCACCACGCTTGATGCGCACTCTGTAGACAACGTAACCTGGGGATCAATTTCAAAAATGTAAGCTTTGACTGCTTTCAACAATTTAACAAAAAGTGATGAATAAAACTATCATCTATGATAGCCGGGCTTTCAAATGTATTACCTTGCTTAGCACGGTACCCAAGACGCCTAGCTTTGTCTGGGCGGGTTGGTCTTGAAGCCCTGTGAACAGATGACAACTGCCTGTACTGCCAACAGCGTACACGGATAAGGAAGCGCATTATGTCACTCTGCTTCTTTCTGTAAATCTCCTGGATGTACTTGTAGGCCCCCATGTTTGATCACTTTGTAGAACTAGTCTAATCGGCTTAGATCTAAAATTTGAGGAAAAAAAATAATTTTAATAAACGGCACAAACTTTTCATGCAATTAATTTGCTCCATAAGTAACACCACTCAAAAATAACTCCCTACAACTCCAACCTTTTCGCTAACAAGTTAGCCATTTGTGTTATAATTGAATTCTGACTGGATTGAAAAACTATTTACAATTCCAACAAGTTACTTTAAATCAAGGCTAGATTATATAGTCACAAGATGCAAAACACGTATGTAGACTTTTAGCTTATTAAATAAATAAATTCATATGTCGATGTGAAAGGATTGCTTCAGATTTAGTAACGTGTCAACTCTCAGTACCTGCCGGTTGATCGACCCCCTGAAAAAAAGGAAGTTGCTAACCGGAAGTAGTCAGAAATAGGCTATTTCCAAATTATTTTTGTTTCGCTTTATTACTTTATACAAATTATTTTTTCGAATTCGGTTTGTATAAGTATTAGTATTTTAGGCTTACATATTCTTTAGGATTTAAAAAAGAAAGATTGTTAGTTATAGTTTGTTATTATTATTTTCATCAAGTCAAGAAAAAGTCTACATGATCTCCACATTTTTCTTAGTATTTTTAAAATACTCACACGATCCCTAATGAGTAGTACTTGTCAGTGTTTCTTCCAGACTTTTTTCTCCGGGGGGGCACTAGAAATCTTCGGGGGGGCGGTAAACTTTCTTCGGGGGGGCGGACACTGTTAAAAGTATATATTTTCTATATAAATTATATAAATTTCATTTCGTTCGGGGGGGCGGTAAAAATTTTTCGGGGGGGCTTTGCCCCCCCGAAGAGATGCCTGGAAGAAACTCTGGTACTTGTAGTGGCATTTGGTCTAGGTTAACGAAAACGTGATTACTGGATGCACACCGTACATTTAGAAAAAAAAATGAAAGTAATTTTTCGTCAAGGCTAAATCAGCTCATTAGACTATGGTCTATGACTTCCCACATAGGCTCTACGCCTCTAGGTTAGGGACCAGAAATTAGCGTTGCATATTTTTTTAAAAAACAAATGATATTTCATAAAGGGGTCAGACTATTATTATTATTGTTAAAGTTGTAAGAGCTAGATAGCTAGTCATTTAAAACACAATTGAGAGTCATTCATAAACGACATTACTAGGTTTCATTTTTTTTTGGCTGAATACCCCCCGCCACCCCTTTTCTTTTCTCTATTGTCGCACCTTCTCTCCCAACCCCCACCCCCACCGTATCCCCATCGTGTAAGGGACAGAGTATTAGATCGGTACTTTAAACGAACCGATGTCCATGAGTCAAGCTGTTACGACCTACCTCCCACTGAACTCAGCAAGCATAAATATAAAATATGTGTTTGCTTTTTTCGACATTAGTACTTTAAAGAAATTGGCGCATATAGAGGCTACTACAACCCCTTCTCCTACCCCTATTTTTTCACTAAGTGCAGTGGTTCTTAACCTTTTTGGAGGTGCCGAACCCCACCAGTTGTATATGCGCATTCACTAAACCCTTCTTTGAAAGGAAAAACATTTTTTTTTCAATTTCAAAACACACGTATAGATTTATATTTTATTGGTGCACAAAATGAACCGTGAATCAACATCCCAATGTTCAACGAAAAAAAAAAACCCATTAAATTATTATTTTCACGCCAAAACAAAATGATAAGTATTTACTGCAAAGCAGTGTTACTTCTGCTATTGATTGTCTTTGAGACACCAGTTCAGAAATGCGCGGCTTCACCCTTCAGCGAGTGTTATGTTCTTGTATTTTCCATCTACACGCGGCATAAGGAAGTATTCTCTTAGTTTTGGTCGGTGCTAGACTAGAATTGCTCAACTTGGCTTGGCAAATCATGCAGTTAAAGGACGCTGACTCCCATCAAATTCCTTTATTCATATTCAACAATATATTACAAATTATTACAAATTCGTGCAACCACTTTTTTGTTGTTGCTAGCCATAGTTAGAATGAAGAAAATAAAATATTAAGAAAGTCATAAATGGGTTCGTTAACCGCATATACACGATCAACACGCGCCTGTGTAGGTGGCGTTGACACTAATTCGTGACTGTCGTGACGCAAAGGTTCCACGATGTAGAAATATCACGATTCCTTTGCATGCCATCTTGCTCTGACGCACTTTATTACTATGCCGTGCTGTTGTCTTTGCGCTGTATTCCGTCCAGTGTTTCTTCCAGACTTTTTTCTCCGGGGGGGGGCACTTGAAATTTTCGGGGGGGGGGGGGGCGGTAAACTTTCTTCGGGGGGGGGGGGGGCGGACACTGTTAAAAGTATATATTTTCTATATAAATTATATAAATTTCATTTCGTTCGGGGGGGGGGGGCAGTAAAAAATTTTCGGGGGGGCAAGAAACTCTGATTCCGTCGCTATTTTTATCGTCCGCCCTGACAAAATCCGGATACATAAAGCTACTTGGGTATCACCCGACCTATCTACAGAAAACCAGATAGACCATATATGTATCATAAAAAAGTTCAGGAGATCACTTCAGGATGTACGCGTCAAGAGAGGAGCTGATGTTGCTTCAGACCATCACCTACTGGTAGCTAAAGTAAAACTCAAGCTGAAGAAAAACATGTTGGAAAACAAAAGGAAATACAGGTACAACACAGGCCTGCTAAAGGACCCATCTAAACTCAACGAATTTAAACTTCATATGTCCAATAGGTTCCAGGTACTACAAGAACTAATAGAAGAAGAGACGATAGAGGAAACATGGGAAAAAACTAAAAGTATATTAACATCAACATGCGAAGAAGTGCTAGGCCCTATCAAAAGACAAGCGAAGGAATGGATATCAGCAGATACCATGAAAATTATTGAAGAGAGAAAAAGAAAGAAGGCAACATTAAACAACAGCCGCACACGGGCTACGAAATTAAAAGCACTGGAAGAATACACCGAAACGAACAAAAATGTAAAGAAACACATAAGGAAAGACAAACGGAGCTATTTGGAACTGCTGGCAAGAGAAGCGGAAGAAGCACTGTACCATGGTAATATTAGGGACGTGTACAATACAATTAAGAAGATATCTGGTAAGTACAGTAAGCCAGAGAGGCCAGTGAAAACCAAAGATGGAAAGACAATACCTGATGCGGAAGGACAGATGAAGAGATGGGTAGAACATTTTGAAGAACTACTGAATAGACCAACACCAGAGTGCACGCAAGACATACCACCAGCTGAAAGTGACCTCCCTATAGACTGCAACCCACCTTCAAAAGAAGAGATACATAGAGCTATAAAGCAGCTGAAAAATTGGAAGGCTCCAGGAATAGATGGTATACCGGCAGAAGCACTGACAGCAGATATAGAAACTAGCACCACACTACTATACACACTCTTCAAGAAAATCTGGGAAGATGAACAAATACCAGAGGAGTGGAAGGAGGGACTACTCATAAAGCTTCCAAAGAAAGGCGATCTTAGTGCATGCTCTAACTATAGAGGGATAACACTTTTGTCCATCCCAGGCAAAGTCTTCAACAGAATATTATTAAACAGAATGAAGGAAGCCATAGATCCCCAGCTTCGAGATCAACAGGCGGGCTTTAGGAAGGAAAGGTCATGCATAGACCAAATTGCTACCCTGCGCATCATCATTGAACAGACCCAAGAGTGGAACTCATCTCTCTATATTAATTTCATAGACTATGAGAAGGCCTTTGATAGCCTGGATAGGCAGTCAATGTGGAAATTGTTGAGACACTACGGGGTGCCACAGAAAATAGTCAACATTATTATGTCTTCATATGAAGGTCTCAAATGTAGAGTAGTGCATGGCCAACAGACTACAGAGGCCTTCCCAGTACGGACCGGAGTAAGGCAGGGTTGCCTACTTTCACCATTCCTGTTCCTACTGGCCATAGACTGGGTTATGAAGATGTCAACAGAGAAAACGCGAAACGGTATACAGTGGACATTGTGGAGCCAGCTGGATGACCTGGACTTTGCTGACGACCTGGCCCTCCTTTCTCACACACAACAGCAAATGCAGGATAAAACCAACAGGGTTGCAAATTTTTCTACAAGCCTGGGTCTGAACATCCACAGAGGGAAAAGTAAAGTTCTCAAAGTCAATGCATCAAACAACAACCCTATAACACTGGCAGAAGAAGCCCTAGAAGAAGTGGATAGATTCACCTACCTTGGAAGTATTGTTGATAAGCAGGGTGGGACAGAAGCAGACATAAAAATAAGGACGGGTAAGGCAAGAGCAGTCTTCAACCAACTAAAAAATGTTTGGGGTTCGGGAGATTTAACCCTTAGAATAAAAATCCGGATCTTCAACACACTAGTAAAACCTGTTTTACTCTATGGAGCTGAGACATGGAGAATAACTGCTATAAATAAGAAGAAAATACAATCATTTATAAACGCATGTCTCAGAAAGATCCTGCGAATTCGCTGGCCTAAAACCATCAGAAATGATGTTCTATGGCAACGGACAAATCAACTGCCAGTGGAAGTAGAGATCCTCCAGAGAAAATGGAAATGGATTGGCCACACACTCAGGAAGCCTGTATCCAGCATAACAAGACAGGCCCTCACCTGGAATCCACAAGGCAGGAGGAAGAGAGGCAGACCAAGAAAGACCTGGAGACGTGACCTGGAAGAAGACACCAAGAAGATTGGATACACCTGGGGACAGTTGGAGAGACTAGCCCTGGACAGAGACGTCTGGAAAGCTCTTGTCAGCGGCCTATGTCCCAGTAGGGACGACAGGCAAACATGACATGACATGACAAAATCCGATCGCAAATCATAGAGTCGTGTGTGTGTCTGGACCTCCGTCGAACCCCTGAGACTTGACTCACCGAATGGCCGGTGTTCGATCGAACCCAAATTAAGAATCACTGTTAGATGCTACTGACCTTACTTGCTGATGACAAGCTAAAAACCTAAATTATCCTCATTAAAAAATTTACCTTAGCAGTCCAATATAGGGCAGATAAAGAAGAGTTCACTTGCCTCTGCAACCATGGCATATGGAGGGATAGTAGGTCATCACTATGCCCAGCCGCCTTTACTTTCCCTAACGTGAGTCAGGTACCCTTCAAAGATGGGTGAACTCAAGCCCAGGAATCTGAACCCAAGACTTTCGGGTTAGTAGTCCAGCACGTTGACACCCAGCCGAACCATCCCATAAAATTATACTCATCTTCTCTTCATCTTTTTCCCGTTTTTTGCCCAAGACACATGGGGCAGATGAAGTAGAGTTCATCTGTTTCAATGACCGCGGCATACAAGGGGAAAATGTGGCCAGCATACGTGAGTTGGTACCCATCAGAGCTGGGTGGACACAAGGACGTTCTACAGATTTGAACCCGGATTCGAACTCGACATTTGCAGGTTAGCAGTCTAGCTCTCTACCACTAGGTCACCTCGTCCCTAAAAATTATACTCATAGGTCACTACTAATTTTTTCCTCCTGGTCATTTCTATTTTTTTATTTTTACAGCACCATGAAAATTTGGAGAGGCATGAAACAATACTTGTTGCACAAAAAGTGCTTGGCATACTTCAGCTGGTCAATATACTAAATCCCATAGAAAGTCAAGTAACTGACAAACTATGGACTTTGTCTAATAAAACTTAAAAATGTAAACCAATCCTCTTCTTACAGAAAATTATGTACTTACAAGATTTGATAAATACATTTTTAAAGCACATATAAAAATAAAACAAGTAATGTAACAATAAATGTTTATTTAGTGAACAATAAAAAACATAATAACAGCTTTCATTTGCAATCCACCACACCATTAGTCCAATTATTAAATAGTTCAATAATAAAATTTATTAAAGCATTATTGAGGTGAATAAAGAATAAAAGGGTAAAGAATAAACAGCATTTTTTAAGCAGCTTTAAAACACGCAACTAGGAATTTGTCTCCTACTAACACGGTGGTTCCGAATAGCCATGCAGAAAATTCACAAAGTGATTTGGGTAGTATCCATGAAATCCATCAAATGATATTCATGAATTACTATATTCTAGCCGTATTTAAAAAGACTAATGTAAATTCAAAGCTAGTGCTCTTTTATATATAACCCTATACTTCCGTTATAGTGATAATAAAAGTTACAATATACAGCACAATTAGAAGTATACCGCAAATGGAAAATTGTATCTTAAATATAGTATTTTAAATAGAATTAAATTATTATTCATTTATGGATAAGAATACTAAAGCTACCCATAATGCTGTTACATTAGTTATCACTATTGTCAGATTTGATTTTCGAACAAAACGAAATATCTCAAGCCTTGTTAAGGGAACTATACTAACATACACTATTTGTTGACTATTTCCACAAATTTTTTTAGGTTACAACAGAACATGCAAAGATTAAGGGAGAAAAACATTTTAAAATGTTTAAAATGTAGCTGTGTTACAATCTTTGCACAATTGTACATACAACAATAGTTTTGCAATCATATATGAAGTAGATGAACCATTCTCGCACACCACACAAGAACAAAATTAAAAAAGCTGAAGTGAAAAAAGGAAAAGACAGACCCATACATATGTATAGTTTTGTTATCTAAAACTGAAAATCAATGTTTGTAATTAAATTGATTTCATACTAATGCCTTATACACAAAAAAAAAATCAAAAAGCTTTCTAAATGTGCAAAGTTTAAGCTTTATTTTATTTTTAGTGAAAATTTAAGAGTTAAATTTTAAGTGTTGAAAAAAACACATTTTAAATTTAAATCTCAGAAAATTGAAAAGTTAATCTTTTGAATAAGTTTTGAAGGTGCAAATTTCTTTAACGATAGTGTTTTACTTTAGTTGTTACAAGTTCCAGTGAAAATGTTAGCAAATTAAAATTAGAGGTTTATTAAAAAAAATTGGTACTTCTAGGAACACTAGTAGGGCATATTTAAATGAATACCAGCTTATATCACAACTCTAACACTAACCCTGGTCCTAACCTTACGTGTGATACAGCTACCTAAATTAAAAATAAAAATGCAACGTAATACTGTATAGCCCTGCCAATGTTTTTAGAAGAACCTGTAAATGCAGCAAAAATACTATTTACAATATTGTGTTCCTTGAGTAAAAACAGGACTGCTCAATAGTAAATTATCTATCATCATTCTCTACTTGTTAAATATTTTTCTTAATAACACTGGATTTTCAAATAGTTACTTCAAGAAAAAGAAACAGTGATGTTTCTTATTAACAATATTTAATGGGAAAAAAACCAACATAAAACAATATCTGATCAAATTTAAAAAAAAACTTCTTTGATTTGCTGATACATTCATGGAGTGAGTTACCATTAATGATAATATTTCTAAGTCTACATCTAGGGTTTGATTTGAGGTGTTGGTATCAGCTAATTGAAAATTTTCAAAAAACAAAGTTGGATGTGAAGGTTCTCTAATTGATTTTCTGCACAGCATGATATCCTACTATATTAATGTGAGAATCACTGACCTGTTTGGTAATAGCTTCATTGTGTCGATGCAAATGAAAATGTAATAGGTTGTATTAGGATTATAAATTATCATTAACAATGTGCATTTTCATTTAATTTAACTGAAAATATATAGTTAAAAAAAATGTGGTGTCTATCAAGTATTAATAACTGGCACTTAATTAGACTGAATATTGGAACACATGCAATAATCTTTAAAAACTCATACTAGGAAACGTATTTCAACAAAGGAAATTCTGTTTGAAACAAAATTTTACTTATCTTTATCAAACTTTTAAAATTCTGTTGGCACCTTTATAAGATCTATAAGTAATTTATTAATTACTTTAAGTGGTATTATTAAAATGATGATCCAAAAATTATACATTATTTCGATATGTGGTTTCCATAGAAACAGGTAAAAAAAAATTGATAATCTTTTTAAAAGTGATGTAAAAAATATTTCTAGAAATGTATTACTAGTGTAAATTATCTTACATTTTGAAAGAAACTATTTTCATAAAGCACAATCATTCAAATCCAGGTGGTGAATGGACTATAGATGGACTTATAAAATGAGAGGAGCTTGTTATGATTTCCAAAAGTAAGGATTTTGTTGAAGCCTCCTCTGAAAATTTTCAAACCAGTTCTTGAGTGTGCTCAGGGGGACATATGTTTCACTAAGGTTAGGGGTCATCTGGCTTTGGGTGACAGCAAATGAGGACGAGAAATTGAAAAAGTTCTCTAGCATCTTAGTGGCAAACTCCATGAAAGTTGAGGCTGATGTAGAGGCATTAACCTGAGATGCCGGCACCTGCTGAGCAAGTTGATCTAAAGGTTCAACAGAGATCCCTATCTGTGCTAGATGAGATTGCTGGTGGGACATGTCTCCAAAATGTATCTGGTTATCGTCATTGTCAGCTGAAAATATTTTAAAATTATGTTCACATAAAAGCTAAACAAATCTATACAAATTTTATAAAAAGTTATTTATTGCATTTAAACTATTAGAAAAAAAAAGTTTTTGTTAGAAATAATATTAAAAACTTAAAGCTTTTGTTGCTCCTGAAATCTTTTCAACATATTTAGCGACCAATGCTTCTGTTTTTATAAATACATCTAAAACGAATCTATTTACAAAACATTTGAGCACCATATTTATTCTTTTTATTCAATTAATTATAATTCACTAATAAAATATTTTATTAGACATGCAAAATTTCTGCCCCTTATAAGAATCTGGGTTTAGTTCTCGGGTTTGAAAACATCAGTGGACACAGCTCACCTGACTGGTCAAGTATAGCTACTACTTAATCTTGTTATCTCCCTTTTTGTTATTGAAAATGGTAATTATAAATTGATTTTTAAAGAATAATTTTAAAAAATAAATTATTAAGGCTGTTAATACTAAGAAAAGTTACATAGGCATGTAATTAACATTTTACTTACGAGTCTTTAATGAAGATATTTTGTAAATAGCACTTGGTTTCTGATTGGAGATATGTCCTAACAAGGTCCAAACAGGACCTTCTGGGCGAGGCCAGGAAAAATACACTAGTGAAATAAAATTTAACTTTTAAAAGTACTAATGTGAAATATACCTCTTATGGGCAAGGCCATGAAAAATAAACTAGTAAAATGAAATTTACAGTTTTATGTAGACTAATGTTTAATCACCCTTTTGGCAAGATAATGAAAAACACACTGGTGAAATAAAATTTACATTTTAATTTTATATGTACTAATGTGAAATATACCTCTTACGGACAAGGCCATGAAAAATAAACTGGTAAAATAAAATTTTCATTTTATTTCTACATAATAAAAACAGGATGTTATTTCAGTTTTGATCATGAAAACTAAGAAAAAATATTATACACTAACCAGCAGCACCAATGCCATCTGGGAACGGTGTTTGACCAGTCATAAAAATGACGACATGGTTGATATTATCAGCTTCTGGTATGTTGAAAAGAAACTGTGTTTCACTAACAGGGTGAAAATCTGTCTGAACCTGTAATCAAATAGATTATCCCTATTTAGGTAATCAATAATAAAATTGCATTATACCATTAATTTAATCAAAGATTACATCCAAAGTTGTAAGAACATGATAAAATGTTTATGGAGGTGTTGGAGGTGCAACACTACTTCAAAAGTAGTTAAAATCCAAACAATGAAGATCTGATTATAGCATGTGTATATTGTAAAACTGAAATTTCAAAAAAGTATTTAAAACTAGATTAACGGCAAGTTAAAAAAGTAGAAATAAAGTTTTTTTAAATACAAAAACTAAATAATACATTAGTTTTTTAGTTGTTTTTTTGTTGAAAATTAAAAGGCCTATAGCACCCTAAAAAAGTAACTTGTTTTCCTGATTACAGGACTGATTTAAATTGTACTAAATTTTTACATATGATTTGAAATTTCAATGAAACAAATATTATGGCATTTTTTTAAATTAAAAATAAAACTGTAATGAATAAATGATAGTAAATGATGAATAATTCATACTACAGCATCAAATTCACTGCTCCAATGAAATGTTAAAACCTAAGTTTTATGTAGTATATAGTATATGTTTATGTAGGCTTACTCTCAATTTAGTTTAGAAGTGTTATTTTTAGGTGTAAATATTTGACCAAGCCTAATTTTCTATCCTAGACCTAGAGCAGTAGGGCAGGGCCTAGCCCTAGACTAGACAACTAGTTACTAATCTAGATTCTAATTACTAATTATTGTAATTAATTCGAAAGGAGTGGAATGCGTTTGGATTCAGGGATCGCATCCACGGAGTTGTGAATGTGTGTGCAGAATCATGTTGAATTAAATACACACCAAGCGTCCAGAAACTATAATGCCAAACATTTTCCGAGATTAGTTGTCTAGTGTGAAGTCGAACGTAAATTTTTATGCATAAAACTGGCTTTTTTAGTTTATATGCATTAAATTTAACACAAGCGAATTTGATGTGCAATGCTAGGCAGAGTTTTTTTTGTTTTTTTTTACACAAGCCTTTTCTTCGTTATTGAGAGTAGTTTCCCTTGGCAATGAAATAATGATAAATAAGTCATAAGTGTAGTATGGTTTATTGTATTATGGTCCACACATGGGTCATGCTGTAGGCCTAATCCCATAATATTATAAAATATCGAAACAGTTGTTACTTTTAGAACCATTTAATTTTTATGAATGGCGTTCATTTACGCGAGTTTAGCGGTCTCTCCCTAAAAAATGATACATATCCCACCACACTCAAAACGACGTCTGAAATAAGCAACCTTCTCCCCCTACCCCCTCCATGCCACATACATTTAAATTATGATAGTTTAAGTACATACTTTTTTCTCTCCCCCACCATCACAGAAATCTACCCCCCCCCCCCACTCCCATCAAATACTAACATTTTTCTTTATTGCATTTTGTTAATCATGTAAATAACGAAAGGGGTCATCCATAAATGACGTCACGCTTTTTTGGGACGATTTTTATCCGCCCCCCCCTCCCCTCCATCACACATCGTCACAAAAAGACAGACCCCCGCCCCTAAAATGACGCCACACTTCAGCTTCAGCCTACAGCCCCCCTCAAAATTGCAGTTTTTTTTTTAAACATCGATATTTTTCCAAACTCTTGTCTGAAATCTGTCAAAATAGAGTATTTCAATCAATTCCTATTACAATTTATTAAAACAGTTTTCTAAAACGCGAAATAACTTCTACAATTCGTTTTCTAACATTTCTTTTTTATAATGAAAAAAAGTTTGACGTCGCACCATCTGAACCCACCCGACTCCCCCTCATCACACATCGTCACAAAGTTACCGACCCCCCTCCCCCTACGAGTGTGACGTCATTTATAGACGACCCCCAAAACACGAATGCGCCTATAGAATTTTACATTATTCTTTTATTTTTATCAAGTGCTGCAAAAAAAAATATTTTTAAAATTCGCATTGATGCCACGGAAGTAATGTAGGCCCTATTTAGGCCCTACATTAAAGGTGCATTAGGGGAAACAGCCCAGCGCGAATAAAACTATTTGCCAATATAAAGACTAGTGGTAGATTAAACTAATAACGTTATCAATACGTCATGAGTAACTCAGGCACGAACCAGCGAACCATGGCCTCTAGAACATTGGATGTTAATTAGATAGGAATTTAGATCCCATGGGTTTGAAAGTGTGCTGTTGCAGACCACGCCTGCAATTTTCGCCCTCCTGACTTCATGGTTTTTGTCAAAAGGGATCAGAAAAAATGGGTTCCCAACAGAAAGATCCCTTACTGTATATATATATTAGCTCTTGACAAAAATTCCATTGATGAATTGTGCCCCCCCCCCCCCCGCCATGCACTCGTGCATAAGAGAACTGCACACGAGTGCAACATAAGCTCATAGTACACGGTGGAAATAATGCGAAATTGTTTATTTTAGTTCTCGGTGGGTAGTAGGGCTAAAAAGCAGAGGCGTGGCGACTCATTCCGAACTATCAGTTTTGCGTCCCCGTTTATTTGAAGTTATTAACGTTGACGAAGAAACATCCCACCCTTCGGAAAGGGCGGGGCGCTTTTTACCAATCACTGTCCCTTAACAGTTTTTATTTGGATGTCACACAATTAATTTAATAAAAAGCTCATTATAATGAGCTTTTTATTTTGTCTACCCCATTCGGCGTCGTCCAGAGGCGTAGCGACCCCTCCGGGCGCCCGGGGTGAACTTTCAGTTTGGCGCCCCTCCATATATATATATATATATATATATATATATATATATATATATATATATATATATATATATATATATATATATATATATGTGTGTGTGTGTGTGTGTGTGTCAGTGGCGGAACTAGAAAAAAAGGGCCACCCCGCAAAAAAATTTTGTAGGTCCCCCCCCCCCCTTATATATATATATATATATATATATATATATATATATATATATATATATATATATATATATATATATATATATATATATGTATATATAGAAAGTGAGAGAGAGAGTCCTATATATATATATATATATATATATATATATATATATATATATATATATATATATATAGAGAGAGAGAGAGAGAGAGAGAGAGAGAGAGAGAGATACACAAAAAACGAACATAGGATACTCATTGCTGGCCTGTTCGGGTTATTAAAAAAAGGGTTTCTTTTCCAAGAAAAAAAAGGGGTTTTATTATTTTCAATTAGATCTAATACAATACATCATCATGTCATGTGTATAAGTGCATTCGTGTGTTTTGTGAAAATCAGTTTTATTTTATCTCTGCAATTAGACCTAAAATTAAAATCTATTCATCGGTCAAAAGAACATAAGCCATGAAAGCTTTGTATAAGTAATGGTATCTCATGTTATGTTTATTTGTATGTTTGTTTGTATTTATATTATTCATTTTAAATACTTTTCCTTTTTATTTAATGTTATTCTTTAGTAAGTACTTTTTAAAAAAAAAAGAATCAAGAAAAACAATTGCTTTTTAATATGTTTAGTACAAATCTATTAAAAGGAGCTTTTGATTACCCCTATTTGAATATTTAAAAAAGGGGAATAAGTCATGGAAGTGGTTTGAACGTTTGCTTATCTTTGATAAGCTTGATTGTAGGAGAAAGATGACTCGGCTTTCACAATGGTTTAAAAACAAAGGGAAAAAAAATATACAAGAGCGTGGGGTGGTGTCTATAGAATAAAGATAATCCAACCGCAGCTACTGTAATATTTTTTACAAAACAACCATCAAGATAAAAATGCAAGAAATTTTTTTTAACTATAAAAAAAAATATTATTTTCGGCTGTGGGCCCCTAAATGGCGTGGGCCCCCCCGCATTGCGGGGTCTGGCGGCACTGTAGTTCCGCCCCTGGTGTGTGTATGTGTGTGCGACAGTCTGAAAAAAAAAATAACAATTACGCTGATAGTCGTTCCCTAAAACTTCACTCGACGCCAATAAAATTCCCGTTATATATAAGAAGCATTATCCTTTAAAAATGATGATTAGTAATGTCAGAAAAAAATTAAAATCGTAGCGGTGCTGATTCGTTTTGGCAAAGAGTGTCGCTTCCCACCCACTCGCTCCAACAGTCTGCTATTTTACTGATCGGATAGCGATACAAGAATCCGTTATATTTATTTCTCTTTAATGCAGTGATCCAGGCAAGATGTAATGCAATCAAGTAAAAGTATCAGATCTCTCTCGATGAAGTTGAGAGAATCGTAAGAATCGTACAAAGAACTAGTCGCGTTATTACTTATCAAAACTGGCTAGTGAAATCGTACATTAAAATGTTAATACAATTTATTTCTTTTCTAAGTGTTAAAAGAGTTATCTAGTCACCGATCCAGTACATATCCTGCGTTTTTTGTTGGTGAAAAAGTGCCCCACCATCTTGCACAAAAATGGTAGAGTGGATTTTAAACGTCACTAACTCTTTTTTACTTTCTCGTATATATAGAGAAAGTCTTGTAATCGTGCAAAAAAAAAATCGAGATTTTTGCAAATCTCGACGTTTTGCATCTCACTGATACGGAAAAACATAATTTTGCAATCTTGTCCGTATGTCTGTGTGTGTGTGTGTGTGTGTGTGTGTGTGTGTGTGTGTGTGTCCGTGTGTAAACACGATAACTTGAGTACCGTTACAGCTAGGTTGATGAAATTTCATATATAAGTATTTAATCAAAATCGTAAATCCGTATCAACTTTTGAGCGATTTCCGATAACCGGAAGTGGTACTTTTCCTACTTTGAATTTTTCAAAAGCCTATAACTTGAGTACTATTTCAGATAGAAAAATGAAATTTCATACGTAAGTAAAAGATCTAATTCTCTACCTTCTATTAAATTTTGAGTCATTTCGGTTGACTGGAAGTAGTACTTTACGCTACTTCCGATTTCTCAAAAAACTAATGTAAATTTTAAAAGTAATAATAATATTGCGCACTATTATGCGCTTTTTTATTTCGCGTTCACTTGGTGTGCAATTTATTTGTCTACGAGATTTTATTCTATTTTTAAAACTTTAAGTATTTAAAATGGATTAAAAATCATGTCTATAGCCCGAGTTCCCATCCCCTGTTATTTTATATAAGAATATTCGAGAAAGTTTAGGGGAGATCACTCCCGGTTTATTTATGTTACAGAATCGTAAAATACGCTTTAGTTCAATGTGTTTCTTTTCTGAGTGATATCGGTTATTTATTCCTTGATCCGGTGTGAATTTTTCCGATTTTAGTCTTCGAAAAAGCGCCCCCCCCCCCATCTAGGAAAGCTGAAAAGCGGTTTTTCCGGTCACTATTTCTTAAGGATATACGTTTTACAGTTACACAATCAAGGTAGAAACAGTTAAATCAGTATGCAAGGGCTCTCTGCCGTTACATTTCTTTACTTTGACTGTTTATAATTCAAAACTGCAGCTTAAAATGAACTTTAATAAATTTTTTCTACCCCTTTTGGCGCCCCTCTAGTGTCGGCGCCCGGGGCGGCGGCCCTCCCCGCCCTCCCCTAGCTACGCCTCTTGTCGTGTCCCCCCCCACCTACGGATCAGCGCCCGGGACCGCCACCCCGTTCGCCCTCCAATAACTTAATATAATAACTAAGTTTCTAGATGAAAGCACAAATTGTGCTCACATACCTCCATCTATAAACCACCTTCCTCCCTTTCTTGTCTTTGCTTCGTCACATTTGGTACCACCCCCAACAATCATTACACAAAGTCACATAACATAAATCTTATGTATGGACGATTCTTATGACTCATTTAGTATTTTTTTTTTACAATTTGATCCATATTGAATCAAGTAGATATACGTATGTCTGCTACAGTCAATACCTTTGCAACATTTTTTTGTAAATAAAACTATTAGGTAATAATTATTTTGTATAAAACGAAATGTTTATGTATGCTAAATTTAGATTTTGCATTTCGCACATTGGTTGGTCGAAATTCAGCATACGATTGGGTCGACTGATGCCGGTATTTTCACTACACATTTGTATTAAACAGAATAATAGAAATTTTTGAAGTAGGTATTTGTTTTCTTAAAGTAACCCTAAATGGCATAAAGTAACCAGATGAATTTGTTGTTTTTATTTATTTAGATCTAGACTAGATCTAGCCTGAGTAAAATTATTAAGTTTGCTTGTTAGTTTTTTGTTTGAGTTGCAGTGAGAATGCAGTGGAGTGTGTCTGACACACTGAGTTCACTGACACTCGACTCGACACTGATCTGTCGACAGTCACTCACTCATTTCGGGTGAACTTTGTGCTGCTTTTCTTGTCGCTGTAGACTAGACTCTAGTGACCTAGTCTATGTCTAGATCTAGAAATCTAGACTCCAGAAAAAAAAATCGGTAATCTATCGTTTTAGGTACGTAAAATCGCCCGCGACTAGAATCTATCTAGTAATGTGAAAAACAGGTGACTCCTTAAATTTTAATAATTATTTGTTATTTTGAGGAGGATTTATGTTTTGAAAAATACAAAAATGTTTCCTTGTTTCATTTATGTACCTGGTTTTAAACAACTGAATTTGAATTAAAACTTTTCAGTAATAAACGAAGACTAGCGATATTTCCATCAGATGCAACCATGCTCATTTACTATAGCTGCTGACTACTAATTTTAATACTATAGCAGTCATCTTGTTTATTTTTTTTATTGTAAACTTATAGCGCAAGATTCAGGGGAAGCCACTCTTAGCTCTAACTTACAGATGACCGCTTTTTATATAGCAAATCCTGCTCGCAAACACTGCTGTTTAAAGTTAATTTCCTGCCTATATTGATATATTTAGCCATTGATTTAGGTTTATTATTCATTTATCTATAATATTTGACACAAATATATCACGTGACAATACTTATATTAAAGCCTTGACAATGAGGTAACTTTTTCGTACATTACTAGCCGCGGACGATTTTACGTACCTAAAACGATAGATTACCAAAAAATCAAAACCTTTTCATATTGAACTTTGAAAAGTCAACACATGCCTCTGCTGGTGCTGTGATCAAATCAAGCAAGACACTGTCCTGTAGGCCTAACTAACTACAAGTAACTAGTAAACTACAGTCTGCTGTATGTGGTCTGTGAAACGGCCATTTGATTAATGCCAATTTAATGCTTACCAAGCTTTTAACCGGGTGCTTTTTCCCTGCTGATTATACTAAGCATGTTCCCTAGGCACTTACTTTATGCTCTAGAATGGAGGCTAGTCCAGACTACTGCTCCTTGATTTTGTTACAGACTGGACTAAGTTTAAAGTTTTAGGCTTAATAAGAATTTGATTAGGCCTAGCACAATAAAATAAGAATAATATAAAATAATAATATTGATGTAATATTTTTTTTTCCTTTGCAGAATGGCCCAGACAAGTAATGATGTTAAAAAAACAAAGGATGCTACAGAGCTAAATGAATTTGATGCTGTTTTTATTGAAATTGTTGAAACATTAACTAAAGATGGAAAGGAAAACTGTGAAATCTCTGATGCTTATAACTGGTTTAAAGAGGTTACTATTTTAACCTACTTTCTTGGAAAATTATGTATTAGGCTGATTTATCCTGATTTATAAAATAAATGTTAAGTAGTTTAGTATCCTATTACATTTAGGTTGACAAGAACATAGTCAATGATAGATCTAGCTTTTATGGGATTTTGGGCTCTTGTCAAATAAAGTCATGATTTTGTCAACTTTATTATTTTTTACTTCTTGCAAATCAAAATGAAATATTACTTCCTATTTTTAAAACATTCACATTTTACCAATCTATGCGACTGTATTTTTTTTGCATAACCTATTTATAATATGAAGGAAATTTCTTTATTATTAAATGTCTTTGCTATATTTTATAGCTATATGCAACATATATTTTTAGGCCCTTGAGTATAATGTACCACATGGCAAAAAGAACAGAGGTATATCAGTAGTAACATCTTTTAAAAAGTTAGTGCAAGATCCTTCTGAGGAGGACATAAAACTAGCCCAGATCATGGGTTGGTGTGTTGAACTGGTAAGTTACTTCTAATTTTGAAAATGTTACTTAATATTTCTGTTTTGTTCCTGTTTGCTATGATTAGGATGACAATATTTTGACCTCTTTTTCTTTTAACAGTTGCAAGCTTTCTTCTTAGTGTCTGATGACATTATGGATCATTCAATTAGCCGTAGAGGTTTACCTTGTTGGTACAAAAAAGTAAGGTTTTTATAACAAACGTTAAATTCTTTAATATGGTATTTTTCTGAATTTCACCTGATTGTCTAACCTCAGTAATAATTATAATAATAACTATTTAAATACTATTTTTACTTTACCCTTTTTGATGTTTTAGAATTATATATTTTATTTATCTTTCAAACAGGAAGGTGTTGGTCTAATAGCAATTAACGATGCATTTTTTATGGAGTGTTCCATATATAAATTATTAAAGAAATATGCTAGTCACAAGCCATATTACATCAATTTGGTAGAGCTCTTTTTACAAGTGAGTTTAGTTTTTTCTTTTTGTCAAACCATTAGTTGTTGGAATATTTGGTGTACTTTTAAAAAAAAATTAGTGATAAATAGTAACTAACTTTAACTTTTTTTTTTGGAAAGCTTATTAACAAAAAATTGTTTATCAATGTGTTGAAGAAATGTTTTTTATCACTCAGTGATGGATAATACTACTTTAAAATTTACCTCTTCTTGTGTCAAAATCCAGGAAATTCAGAAAGTACATTTTAAAAAGTCCTTGTCACAGTGTTATGATACCCCATAGAACCTAGTGGTCCATGGGGTAGAGGAAGTAGAGTTCATCTGTTTATTTGACCTCAGCATATGAAGGGATAACATGGTCAGCACTATGCCTAGCCACCTTTACTTAACCTAATGTGAGTCAGGTACCCATCAGAGCTGGGTGAATTCAAGAATGTTGTACAGAGTCAAGCCAGAGATCCGAACTTGATAGTCGTTTGGCTTAGCAGTAGTATATTGTTCCATCTGACCATGCTGTCCCCACATGGTTCTTTGTAACGTTTTTAAAACCTGTAAAAAAATAATGCTACAAAAGCATTAATCAATCGGCTGTTTCACAGACCACACTACAGACTGTTACAGGACAGTGTCTTGATTTGATCACAGCACCAGCAGAGGCATGTGTTGACTTTTCAAAGTTCAATATGAAAAGATACAATGCCATTGTCAAGTGGAAAACAGCCTTTTACTCTTTTTATTTACCTGTTGCTATTGCAATGTATATGGTAAGTATACATTATAGGGTATGGGAATTTGGGTTGTCATATAACTATTAAATATGCCCAGCATTTGGAAATTGGGGTACTGATTTCTAATGTAAGATTGCTTTTTTTCCTGAATATAGGCTGGTATATCAGATGAAGAAACTCACGGAAAAGCGAAAACAATCTTACTAGAAATGGGGCACTTTTTTCAAGTTCAGGCAAGTATTTTATTAAGGTTACCGAATAAAATATTTTAATTCCTGTAAAATCATTTAGGTTGTTTTGTTTTTATATTTATTTGTAATTTATAAACAGTTTATGGATACATCACATATAAAGTTTAACCGGGTGTTCTTTCCCTGCTGATTTCACCAAGCCTGTTCCCTAGGCACTTACTTTATGCTCTAGAATGGAAGCTAGTCCAGGCTACTGCTCCTTGATTTTGTTATGGACTGGACTAATTTCACATCACAAGCAGAAGTTTCTCTAGCAGGCCATGATGCTATTAATAGTATAATTGATCAGACTTACATCATGCTTTACCAGCCTATGTTGAAGGTGTGGGCTGTCAGAGGATTATAGTCAGGGCACCCATCACATTTGAAGCAGAAATGGGTGGGGCGACAACCAACACTTGCCCGCCTTGAACCTGGCTTCCTGCATGATGAAGCAATCAAGGAGAGAATTTGTTGCCAACTTCTCTCTTCGTACCAATATACCCCATGTGGTCCGGTCCATTGACAATGAATCTGCTGGGTCTGGGTTATCTGACATCTTTATTTGAATATTTTCCAGGATGACTATTTAGATTGTTATGGTACACCTGAGATCATTGGCAAGATTGGAACTGACATACAAGACAACAAATGTGGCTGGCTGATTGTGAAAGCTCTAGAGATAGCTTCTGATGAACAGAAAAAGGAACTTGAGGTAGTCTTTATGTCCAAATAATATCTCACTTTTACTATCTTTTATGTCAATATATTACAGTTTAGTACCCAAGTCATAATTTATTTACCTAGTTAAATGTAAAAACTTTTTTAGTCAAAATAGTATAGTAAAAAAAGCTTAAATAATAATTCAAATAATATAATTATAATCTTGTTTTTTCTTCTATGGAATTTTTTTGGACCAAAATTTGATATTTTACTGTAAAATTTTGTTGATTTGAACCAGATGTTTAAAATGATACATTTATTTTTTAGGCCTCTTATGGAAGATGGGATGATGATGCTATTGTCAGAGTAAAAAATATCTACAGAGAGCTTGATATAGAAGGTGTGTACAAACAGTATGAAGAACAAAGCTATGAAAGTATTACACAAGTTATCAAGTCACTAGATTCAGATGTTCCCCAAGAAGTCTTTCTGGATTTTGCAAATAGAATATACAAAAGACAAAAATAAACACTGCCATTGTTCGTCCACATAGAAAAGTGGTATTAATAAATATTCAAGATTTCTAAGTTTTATTAGCTGCCAGACATTAATTTATTAAACGCCACATTTTTCAATAAAATATTAAGTGTACTATGTATTAACACTTTTTATTGTTTTACACGTGGACATTTGTCCTGATTTTTAAAAAGGTTTTGCAAATATTGTTTTAATTTTTTACACTCAACTCAGTTATTTTGATGTATACCTTGTTTAAGTCATGTGTTATTAAAAGGTTGATGCTACATCAAAGGTTTTTAGTGTTTTATAAGCGCTGCATTTTTTATGTTAATCATTATTTTAACTTAAGGTTTGATATTTTCTTTTTAGTGTGGGAACTCTATTTACTTGACAAAAAAACATAAGGGGGGATAACAAATTTTTTTTTAAAATTAAATAATATAGTTTAAATTTGTACCATAAATTGCAAAAAAAAAAAAAAAAAAAAAAATTAAGAAAAAAAGATTATTTCAATTTCAGTGGAGTTTGAGAGGAAATTAAGTTATGATTTTAATTAAGCATTATTGAAAGTTTGATAGCACACTACCTTATGTCAAATAATGAATTCTTTGAAGTCTACTGTTTAAGATGGGATCTGTTGTTAAGGATAATACAATGCTTTTGAAAACAAAATGTTGATTAGGATCACATACAGTTCACAGACTCTTGCTAAATATTAATTTAGGTGACTTTGGTTGTTAAAAACAAAGAGCATGTCCACTAAGGGTGGAAGTGAGGGTGGTCCTCTTTTTGATCATATTTAGGTAACATCTCCTTGTGACATTTACCATATCATAAGGAATGGCGGTCTATTGTAGGTCACAGGCAAACAGAATTCAATGTGGGAGAAAGTCTGCTTAATAACTGACTAACAGCAACTTTTATCTCGTCAAAGTGTAAGGGATAACCATTAAAGCTAGACTGCTAACCCCATAGCCTCAAGTTCTTAACCGGGTTCAAATCACTAGAATGTCCATGAGTTCATCCAGCTCTGGTGGGTACCTAGCTCACATTAGGGTAATTAAAAGCAGCTGGGCATAGTGCTGACCACGCTATCCCTTCATATGCTGAGGTAATCTGAAACAGATGAACTCACTTCATCTGCCATATTTGTTTTGGGCATGAACTGGAAAAGATCTTTATGATGGACCGTTCAAGGTAAGCAGACAAGCTTTGTGCCCTCAGATTAGTGATGACAAAACCATATAACAGGACCAGATAGTTCATAGAGACAGATGAAGTATTTCATGTGGTCACCTTAGTTAAGTGATCCCTTGTTGAACCCACATGCTAAAGTCAAGCAAGGGTAAAAGATCGCTTTACATCAGGGGGTCTCCAAACTACGGCCCGCGGCACATCAGCAAGCTTTGAGTGCTAAATATATAAACATTAACAGTGTATTGAATCCTGTCGTGAAGATTGTGAATTTAATAAGGTCATATGGGCTGAACCATAGATATAGAATACTTGGATCTCGACTGTATTTTCGGCCCCCCGACAGTGTTTCTTTCAGATTTTTTTCTCGGGGGGGGGGGGGGGGGGGCGGCACTTGAAATATGTATATATTTCTATAAAATTATATTTTGTGGGGGGGGGGGGGGGCTCCATAACACCAAAGATATGCCTTGAAGAAACTCTGGCCCCCAAACTGATATTTGATAGTCAATCTGGCCCTCGGTCTGAAAAGTTTGGAGACCCCTGCTTTACATGTTAGCTTATTATAATACTTGTATTTTTATAACACACCACATAAGTATTTTTAACAGAGAGAAAAAACAATCTTTCTACTATGAATTATGGAAAAGTAAATAATAAACTGTTTTATTATCCCAAGAACTCATGATCGTATGTACGTGACTACAAAATATATTTACATCGGCAAATAGTAGAAAGTATTATCGCTTGGTATTTTAATATTTTTGCCATTACATCACTTCAACTCACCACAAATACAATCATAGTTTTTGTTAAGTACTTTCAAAAACAAACATTTAATGTATGAAAGTCTTGGCTTACAAATAGCATGAATAAGAAAGTAGAAAATCCCACAAAAAATGTTCTTTAAAAATGTATCTTACAATAGATTATAAATACTATACAAAAGCATTCTCTCATTACAGGTCAACTTTTGTCAAAAACAGGTATTTAATATTATGAAACAGTCTTTACTAATATATAATACAAAGTGAAGTAAAAAAATGTCCTCACAAAATATGTACATAAAAAATTAAACTTCAAAAAAGCATTTATCAATCACAGACTGAGTAGCTTTAAAAGTGTTTTCAGTAATGCTGAACTTCTAATGTAGATGATATACTAGTGCAAGCATAGATGATAGTTATTACAGGTTTATTCAGGTCTATCAACATTTAGCTGAATTCTGTTACCCAATCTACTTTTTTATTTATACATGTTATAGTTATACAGAATGATTAATCTCAATAATATAAATTGACTGCAAGCTCATTCCATAAAAAAAATAGTTACAAAAATGTGATGCATTTAACATATAGTATTAATTTTAAAATATATAAAAATCAGGTAGATTTTTCAGAAATAATCTTTTTACAAATAAATCTTAACACGGTAATAAAAAATAATTGACTTTGTTAATTAATTATGCTATAAATTAGAGTAATAATTATTTTTAAAGAAATTATACTCTGCGTAGGGGTAACTGGTTTTGACAGCATCAATACCCTCAAAGAATTCGAATTTTTACACCTACCATCTTTCTGTACCTGCAACTACTTTGGGCAAATCCCTCCTCCCCCAATGTGGATGTCCACATGAATCAAAGTACATTTCATCACATATCTATTATTTTCTACATGTACTGCAACATAAATTACTTATTTAAAAGTTATTCTTTTTGGCAAGGTCTATTTTTAAATTCTTTCAATAGAATCAAACAAAAGCATTGAGAAGAAGAAATAAAATGTTTTAAGAGAGAATCTTTTTAAGTGCTATTTTAAATCTAATGATTTTCATTTCCAAATCACAAATTTAAAAATGTGTGTAGTCAAATATAGCACAAAAAACTGGTCCTGAATCTTAAGATCACATTTGTGACTGATATTTTTGTTTTTATTCATTGGTTTCTAAGGTAGACCTACTAACTTCAAAAGACCAGTACCTGTTGAACTATTTAAAAAAACTTGTGTTTGAATTCAGGTTGTTGCCTTGATCCATCTTCCTTCCAAAATCTACTATTCCTGAGGTTCACCTATGGAATGAAGCGTTTAACATTATTATGTTGAACTTAATAGATAGATGAATCAAAGCATGTTCTTATACATGTATAGTGGGTAGGTCTGTCCACCCTAAAATATATTTTTCAAGGAACAAGCAGCAATTTTCCTTAATGACGTTCTATATGTAACTTTTAAATGAATAATACTTTTCACACATTTTTTTGTGACAAATGTTACCATATAAATGACCGTTTGTAAAGTATCAGCAGATGAGGCACAGGTGCTATATTTTTAAAGAGGTTGAGAAATTGTTTTTGGCCTACATTAAAAAAAACCCCACAAAATTAGTGAAATGTTATATTTTTTATCTTACCAAGAGATAATAACCTTACTTGCAAAATGACATTTTATAGCCTATTAAAAAAATTGCATAAAAAGTTTTAATAAGAGGCTTTTATGTGATAATGCACCAAAAAGGGGAAAATAAATGATTTTCTTTAAATATATAATACACTACTATTTAAATAACTAAAGAAAAGCGTGAGTCGCTATAATATGTTTTGGATAATTTTACTAATATTTAGGAAGCCACCCATGCAAATAAAAAAAAAGCAGGCTTATAAGGTTCATAACATGTTGACACATAATACTTAATTGTGTTGGAGGAAATCCCGTATTACATTACATTTAATAGTGAAGAAGATTGCATAATAAACTGTGTTTACTCATGAAATTTTTTCAACTTATAAGTTTTCAGTTACTGCACATTTAGTAACAATGCTCAGCCACTGCAAGGTGGAGTGAAGCGAGTTGTGAACCATAGGTACCAGCAGTGCTTTTTTTTAAAAAAAAAGGTGCCAGTACTCAGTGATGGATTGATTAACTTTTAACTACCAGTTCGCACCTCAATGCAATCTTACTGGGTGCAATTTTTTTAAAAATTCAGTTTTAAATTAATAATATAATATATTAATAATAAACGTTAAAATACAAGTAAAGTAAGATTTTTTTCCACACATTGAAAAAGGTACCGATACACAGTACTGGTGCATACCGTCACAAAAAAAGCACCACCTAGATGTGAATCAGTGCACCAGGAAATGAAAATTACCACAAAGAAACTCCTAATTCAAAACAATTACAATTTACAAAATTTAAAAGCCAAGGGTCCTGGCTTTTAAAATTTATTTTTTCACGTCTTTTTAAAGATTTGAATTGGAAGGAATTTTTCTATTCTAACATAAAATTAACACTTGCATGTCAAAATTGGAGAATCACTGAGTAAAATTGACTGGTAGGCAGCCTGCTATGGATTATCTATTCAGGTCAACCCTCTTGGAGTGTAGTGCAAATAGAGTTAACCGATGGAAGCATGTAAACTAGACTATAGAGGGCGTAGTGGACATAAATGGATGATCCATTCATTTTAAAATTTTATTGGAATACAAAAATTTACAAAAATATTTACTCTTGAGAGGTTTAGATCCAATGCATTTTTGAAAACATGCCGTACAGTAAGTAGAATAGGTTTCCTGAAATTTTGTAATATAAATAAACAATGAATTATTATTTTACATATTTATTGTTTAAGGTTAGGAATTGTTGACGTTAAGCAATTAATGAGGTTAAAAATAAATGTATGACACTTTTTGCCTAGAAGGATTAACACATAACATGTTTTAAGTTTTCCATAAATTTTTTTAATTATTCAAAAGGTTAAATCTAAAATATTTGGGAGTCTTTAAAACTTTCATGAAAATTATATATTTTAGTTATAAATTACCACAGGTCATTTTCTTTTTGACAAAATTGTATTTGGTTCAAATCTTTAAGACGATATACCCAAACGGGATGAAAAGCTAAAAATAGCTTACCATGTTTTAATTTATTATTGTTACTTGTTGGGATTGTAGCATGTAAACCATACTAATCCAACCAGGCCCATTTTAATAATAATACTATTATATAACTATTTAATAATTATTTTTAAAATGGTACCTTTTTGGCTTGTGCTAAATCATCAATGATTTCAGCAAAAGCTTCTTTTTCTTGACTCAGCTTTTGACATAGGTCTTCAAGCCAGTGGCGGAACTAGAAAAAAAGGGCCACCCCGCAAAGAAATTTTTTGGGCCCCATATATATATATATATATATATATATATATATATATATATATATATATATATATATATATATATATATATATATATATATATATATAAACAAAATAGCAACATAGAATACTCTTTTCGGGCTTGTCCGAGTTTTAAAAAAAATAAAAATTCTTAGTTTTTATTAAAAATTAAAATCAAGTTACAACAACACGTCATTTGTGTGAGTGTTATTCGTCTTTTCTTTCTTTTTACTTTCTCGTATATACGTAGTATAGAGAAAGTATTGTAATCGTGCACAAAAAAAAAAAATCGAGATTTTTACAAATCTCGACGTTTTACACCTCACTGATACGGAAAAACATAATTTTGCAATCTTGTCCGTATGTCTGTGTGTGTGTGTGTCTGTCTGTCTGTCTGTCTGTCCGTGTGTAAACACGATAACTTAAGTACCGTTACAGCTAGGTTGATGAAATTTCATATATAAGTATTTTATCAAAATCGTAGATCCGTATCAACTTTTGAGCGATTTCCGATAACCGGAAGTGGTACTTTTCCTACTTTGAATTTTTTAAAAGCCTATAACTTGAGTACTATTTCAGATAGATAAATGAAATTTCACATGTAAGTAAAAGATATAATTCTCTACCTTCTGTTAAATTTTGAGTAATTTCCGTTGACTGGAAGTAGTAATTTACGCTACTTCCGATTTCTCAAAAAACTAATGTAAATTTTTAAAGTACTAATAATATTGCGCACTATTATACGCGTTTTTATTCGGCGTTTGCTTGGTGCGCAATGTTTTTTTTATGAGATTCTATTCTATTTTTAAAAGTTTAAGTATTTAAAATGGATTAAAAATCATAACTATATCCCCAGTTACCATCCCCTGTTGTTTTATATAAGAATATTCGAGAAAGTTTAGGGGAGATCACTACCGGTTTATTTTTTGTATACTTTTATTTTTCAATTTAATACAAATACAGTAACATTCTTCGAAAATCTCAGTTATAATAAACGTTTGCTTAAATGCCTCCTAAAAACAAGTCGGTCAAAAGTATAAGAAGCATGAAAACTTTGTACCTGTAATGGTTTCTCGCGTTATGTTTATTATAATGTTTTTTTGTATTTATATTATTAATCTTAAATATTTTCCTTTTAAAAATACTTGTCATTCTTTATTAAGTATTTTTAAAAAATAATAATTAAGAGAAGTAATTGCTTTTAAATTTGTTAAGAGCAAATCTATTAAAAGGTGCTTAAGAGCACACATATTTGACTATTTAAAAGGGGGAAATAAGTCATAGAAGTGGTTTGAACGTTTGCCTTTCACGCAATTTATTTTCAAAATAATTTTGCCGTCAGCAGCGTGTGTTTGATTGTAGGAGAAAGAGGACTCGGGATGGTGGCTATAAAATAAAGATAATCAACAGCAGCTACGGTATTCTTTTTACAAAACAACCATCAAGTCAAAAATGAAAGAAAATAACTATTTTTAACTGTAAAAGAAAATTGATTATGGTTGGCAATGGGCCCCTAAATGGCGTGGGCCCCCCCGCATGGCGGGGTCTGGCGGCACTGTCGTTCCGCCCCTGCTTCAAGCTAGGACACAAAAGCAAACAACTCAATTATGTGTAGGTTACATATTTTTGTAAGATACATTCTTTTTACAAATTGATTTGTGTTAGTAACTTTACATGACTGTTGAGTGTAAAACCTTTAAAAACAGAAATATAAGGTAAATAAAGTATCTGTCAGTGAAAAAAAATATGTATAAAAAGACAGAATTTTCAGTGATCCTGTGTCTAATCCATGTTTAACATAAGAGTTGTTTTTATTGAGGATGAATAACAGTTGGGTAATAACATTGCCTTACACACATTTAAAATAGATCAGACTAAAAAAAACCCACCTCTTTTAGTTTTGCTTCTTTTTCTGGTAAGATCTTTTCTAATAGTACTAGCTGTTGATATAGAAATGAAAAGAGTAAACTTCAAATAGTATATTGATTTTCAAACTCAACATTTCTTTTTGAGATAATATGATAGCATTATGACATGGCCCAAAGTAAAGAGGATAGCTAATAGAGTAAGTGGTCTCTCAGGGAGGGGAAAAGAATAAAGCTATTTGGAATATGCATACTTCAAGCCCTCTTTGGCTCGAGGCAATGACTGTAATAGATTGACGATAGAAGCATGTGATTGTATATAAAACGTTTATTGGCCTCAACTACATGATGGTAACGAGAGAGAGCGGAAGTCACGAGACACAAATATATATATACATATAAGGGACATCACTCAAGATAACAGTATAAATATAATACTAATACAAGAAGAGTGAGTTCCCTTGACTTCACAATTCTCACTATATTACAATGACAATTTCATCACTGCCTCTACAAAAAATATATTGCTAGTGTCAGTAGAGCTTCTCTTAATGAATGGTAGATGCAACAACAAATGTTCGTGACAATTTGTAGTTAGGTCTGGTTAGTTGATAATGCAATGGGGTAAAACATTCGTGTGCCACACTGATGTGTGATATTTTTTTCTAGTAGTTTTCTTGATAGAATGAGTTACACCATTTTTAAAGGTGATTTTTAAAAAATTCATTTTTTGCTATAACATTTAAATTCATGAAGCAAAAACTTTACTCATTAGATATAATAACCAGAGTTTCTTTCAGGAATATCAACTGCCACCACCACCCCTCCGAAACAAAATAGAAATGTATAATTTCTATAGAAAATGTATACTTTTACCCAGAAATTTAAGTGCACCTCAACCCCCACCCAAATGTTTCAAGTGCCCTCCCTCCCCCCAAGAAAAAGTCTGAAAGAAACAGTTTAAAACACTTTGCATTACAATTGCATTGAATAAGCTTAACATGCTCTCAACTTCACCCATTTCATATTTAACATGCATAATTTATCATGTGGTTAAAAGGTCTGGGTTAATAAAAACAACAAGTTGCAAGTAATTAAACTTTAGTCATTGAGAAATCTGTGTTCTGCAGATTATTGCAATTGCCTCCCTTTACTGGCAGTTAAGTTTGATTATTGTTATTGTTAAATAACGCTAGTTATATATATATACATATATTTATCTATACTTAGTTTTCTCAGTGTAAAAATAAATTCCCTTTAAACATACACTATACACATAAACCAACAGTGCAGCCATACAACTATACAATTACTTTGCCAATAACTGTTGATACATAAATATACAATTGAATTTAAGCTATGGTTCAAGTTTTTTATATTTTGGAGATAATGTTAAGTCAAGGGGCACATTCATGTTTCTATTAACTATTAGGCCTACCATACTACGACAAAAATTAGTTGCTTTCCAGACAATAAATGAAAAAATTTACCCTCTCTTTCATTTGCTTTACCGTTGGTTCCTTATGTCTCTTCCTCTTTTTTGTTTTCTTTTTGCTAAATTTAAAAATGAGTTCCAATAAAATACATTTTCTCTTTTTCTATAAACAAATTTTTTACTACAAAGATTGCCAATGGTTTAAAATTTTTGGAGTAAAAATTAGAATTTATCTTGCTTCAGCTTATTCCTTTTTAAAAATGCAAGTGGCTATAATTACCCCACAAATATAAAATTTCATCTCAGAAAGAGCTTAAAAAAATAATTTGCATAGTTAGCTGAGCTCATCATAATAAAATTTAAACTCTAAAACTGAAGATTTAGAAAAAATACAACTATTTAACCCAGATCAGACGTGTAACTTGCAGAACACATCTTGTCTGATGCAGCTCCTGATTACCTGGTGTGTTGATCAAGTAAACCTGTTCAAAACATTTAAAAAAAAAATCAATTAACAAACTGCAATTTACACACATGAAGAAGTGATGTAAAAAAAAAGTCTTATTAAATTAATCATGAAGTATTTTTATTCTTTTTCTGTAAACTAAATGAGATTATTGAAGTCTTGTCAATTAGTAATAACAATTGTGTGAATATGAATGAAAATGTATTTATTTTACATACTTTTTGCTTTGATACACAAAAACACATTTTTTAAAGATAGCATTTGAAATCTGTATTACTTTTTTTGTGTAGTAGCAAAAAATATATAAATATCACACTGATGATGCAACTACAATAATACGGCTATGTAATGATGATACAAACACAAGGATAAAATTACAAAATGCACCTTTACCAGATGATGTTCCATTATTTTTCTGTTGTTTTGCCTGTTTCTGTCAAATAAAAAAAATTGAGTATTTATGAACTTTAATACCCACTTAACAAGAGGGATGGGGGTTCTGATACAGAAAAAAAGTAATATTCTTAATCCAGATTTTGAGAAAATCTGTTTCTTACCTTACTTGACAGTGTAGCAAACAATGAAGGATCTTCAACTTCCCTTTTAGGTACTGAAACTTTTTGCACCATTTCCTGATCAACACATGATTTAGATTATTCAAAAAATTGATCTCTGGATTAAACAGATAAACCAACATGATAAAAAGGTTCAATTCAAAGACTTGTTTGAAAATAAATGTTTTTTGCCATCTCTACTTAAAAGAGTTTTTTTTTATGGAAATACAATAGGGTATTGTAGATTTTTAGGAATAAAAAAATGTACCACCAGAAGCACTTAATACTAAAATTTCTTTAGTCATTGAACATCACTATGTTATTTAAGAATATGTAAACATCACAGAAGTTTCAAGACTTAATTAAAGCTTCATTTATTGTTATTTTAAGAATCTTAATTAGGACCATTTAGAAGATTTTTTAATAGAACAAAGGGAAATAAGAAATACAGTTGTGTTACAGAGTTATAGTTAATGTAACCATAATTGCAATTTAACATTTCTTAAAAGTAGAAAGCTACAAATTTGGAAGAAATAATAGTTTTTAAAAAGAGGCTGGGGAAGGGGTAATCAAAAAAAAAATACCCACAAGGAATATTTTCTGGTTTGGTTAGTGACATCCAACATTGGGTGAAGATCATCTAGTGTTAAATTATAAATAACATTTAATATTTGTTTATTAGGGTGCAGGCACACTTTCAGTGGGTTCCCACTCAAAAAAGTGGTAAATAAAATTAAAAACATGGGCTACATACTAATAGTGAAGCAGTTATAAAGATTAATCTTTAGTCAATTTGTCGAACATTGCTAACTATTTCATACTCTGCATACAAATATTCTGCTCAGTAATAATTTTTAATTTAATTGGAAAGAGTGGAAAGAAATGAAAAAAAAAACAATAGCAGAAGGCAGAAAAGCATGGATGGATGCTGTTAATGGCCTATGCACCACTAAAAGTTGAAAAGGCAGATTAGAAGAAAAAGTTTTAGATAATTTTTTGTGTTATTATTTATTGAAATTGCACAAATTAATAAACTATCTTACATCAGGGAGTTGGGTTTTGACCTGAATCAGAGTTGAGTCTTTACTACTTGAAGGAATTTGCCTGTTGGTTAAAGATAATAAGTTCAAGAAACCACACATTTCCTCAGGAAGCTTTTAAGAAAATAAAAAATCCAGCATACCTATTTACATTTAAAGTTTCTTGAGTTTTTTTCAGTTTTTTGCATTCTTTGGAGTAGTACATCTGTAATAAAAGTATATCTTTTTCAAATATTAACTCATATAAAAACTGATTGTAAAACTGACAAGTATAATTATAATTGAAAAAAAAGACAGTTTTCACACGAAAAATATATAATGATACTTCATTTTAAGTGATATAGATGGTTTTTGGTTTTTGTTGATTTTTTTTTTGCCTGGGAAATTTGTGAAATTTTTTTTTGTTAGTTGTTTTAGATGATCTGAGATGTTATCTCTATCCTAAATGTACACAAACTTAGTGTGTTGAGTGTACACTTTGGCTCATTTTGGCGCTGTTCCTGGTTGAAGATCAACCATGTATCCAGCTCAACAATTAATTGCTGTTCAGTGTTTTTGTGAAACAATACCCACAAGTTATAATAACTTTAGTATATGATGCCTATGGTCCTTATAATTGTGAATTCATTTTCCAAACAATGTCATCTCTCTGTATTACCATACCTTATTTGCACCCAATAAAGTTTTTTTAGCAAGAATTTTTTTATTATTCTGTTCTATTATTTTTTTTTATGTTAGTTCTTACATTTAGTTAGTAATAACAGATACAAAATGTGTTCTGCATAGACACAAACTGAATTTATTGTGCATTTTGGAGTGTCTACAATAGTGTTTCTTTCAGACATTCTTCAGAAAGATGCCTGAAAGAAACTCTGCTTGAACATGTTCATTTGATTTGCAAATTGCCTTGATTCTGAGGTTTTAGATTTCGCCACATTAGATAGATTATCAACAAAAAATAAAAAAATGAGGTTTTACAGTGTGTAAATCTCACTAATGTGCAATGATTACTTTGCCTTCCATTGACAAGTTTTCCCAACTTTGTCTAAATTTTTGCAGTCTTTCCTGCATGCTGCACTTTGGAAATTGTAAACTTTCAAACCGTTTATTTAAATACAAAGAGAATGGTGTCAGTTGTTGTTCATCAGACTGTAATAAAGATAATTACCTTGATGATAATTTAAAAAAAAAACAAGACAGAACAAAATAAAAATGACATGTTGTAGTGAAAGATTTCTAACTTTTTAGAATCAACTTAGGAACCATATTGCATTAATAAAAGAGTCTTTATTCCTTTAACTATATTTCTTCATTATAGAGCTTTGAATTTTAAAAAATTAGGGTGATAATGAGAGTTGTGGTCCAAAATAGGGTTAAAGCAAAGTCTTTTTAATTTTTTAAAATAGAAAAAAATTGTAATAAAAAGTGTAATAAGAAATCAATTTAGAAACCACATCGCATTAATAAAAGAGTATCATTTCTATAGCTCCATTTCTTCATTAACAAACTTTGAATTTTAAAAAAGTAAAGTTGACAATAAAATTTGTGGTAGGAAAAAGGGTTAAAGCAAAGTCTTTTTAATTCTTAAAAATAGAAAAAAAAATCATTTCAAAGTAAATGAGAAAAAACAACCTTAAATGCTCCAATATATTTACTCTTAGTCCAGTTTGGTTAATGTTTTACAAGCTTTTCTTTAGTTCGCAAAACTTAATTTTGACCCACTTCTAATGCAGCGATTTCGTTCAAACTTTCCCTATATGTTCCACTTTGATAACAATACAAGTCTATTTTTTAATTTAATTAGATGTTTAATTAGTCATTAAAAATTAATTAAACGGTTTTGGCACTTAGGGGGGATAACAAAATTAATTCACTTGATAGATTACTATATTTAATAACAGAAGGAGAGATTCTGATGAGCTGTGGTTCATAAGAATGTTCACAATTGTAGAACTGGTAGATCTAGGGGCAGATAATATAGCTTTTAAACGGTTTAAAACTAAGGGGAGGTAGTAAGATTAAGAGCTAATTTGCTTTCTTTAATAAAAGTAATGGTTGCTCATGAGATCTACAAATTTTAGCAACAAAAGCTTTTTATTAAAGAAAGCAAATTAGTTTTATTTTCTCATTTTCAGTGCATTTAAAAGCTTTTTGCCATAAAAGGTATTATATTTGTTTTATGAATTCTAACCATGTCTAACAGATTTCTTTTAAGATGATTATTCTTCAATTTCAAATTATTTACCTTTTATAAAACTCCTTAGATGTTTTGAGAAGTTTAAAATACCAGTAACAAAGTTGTTTTTTTGTGTTTGGTTTAACTAAATCTTGAGTAGGAAATTTTCACTGTGTTTTACAGGATTATGATAAAAAAAGTGTTAAAAACAGTAACAAGATAATACCTCAGAAACGAAGCCTTCCATTCTAAAAATTCTGTTCTATCTGAAAGGATAAACCCTACACTGAAAACAACATTCTCAACAAATATAAATTTTAAAATTAAAACTAGATCTACAGAGTAAAAAATGTCGGTGACAACAAATACTTATTTAAAATAAGCTCATTCTTTATAATCTACTTGACAATTATGTTTGAGAATTGATAAAATGCAGTTTCTATTAGTTTTGGTACAGCTAAAGGTGATAAATACACCCCAGGGTCCATTTCTTTTCTTTCTGAATATTATCTAAAAAATTGATTTGTATTGTAACAACAGACCAATAACAAGTCTAAAAAAAATGAAACATAGTAAAAAAAAATGTTTTTTTACTTTTAATGAAGAAAATATGTTAATTTTGACACAAATATTAAAATTCACACAAAAATCCACAGAAGCTAAAGTACTTGATAAATAGTAATATAACTTTACAAAACATTTTGCAGTATGTAAAAAAGTTTCCCTTTCAAACCTAACAGTCTATGGGGCAAGTGAAGTAGAGTTCACTTGTTTCTGTGACCTCGGCATATGAAGAGATAGTGTGGTCAGCACTATGTCCAGCCGCCTTTACTTTCCCTAACGTGAGTTAGGTACCCATTAGAGTTGGGTGGACTCAGGGACGGTCTACTGACTTGAAAACCCGGATTCGAACTCAAGACTTACGGGTTAGCAGTCCAGCTCTCTACCGCTAGACCACTCCATCCCATTTTGCAGTATGTAGATTTATATTAAATAATTACAGCTGTTGGTGGTCATACTATGATCAGGAAAAAAATAGTTGACTAAAACAAATGCACCTCCTAATTGTGACCTAATTTTGGAGTTTATGACAAGAATTTTTTTTGTAAAAATGTAATATGTAAAGACACTCAAACTTAAACATGTAATTCAGTAGAAGAGTGCACTATAAATAAATATGCCAAATTTTAAGACTATAGCTACAAAACTTCATATTTTACGGCCTGGAACCTTCGTAAGAAAATAGAAAAACAACAAATTGAGAAAAATCAAAAAAAAAAATTAAAACATTGCCTAAAACAACATTGTGTAAAATCAGCAAACGGTAATGAAATATTTGTACATACATAACAGATATATTGAAATATGCTGCTCAAACAATATAATTTCTGACATTAGCCCAAAAAAAATTGAATTCCATGACCCATAAAAATGTTGACCTAAAAGTCACTAGAACCCCCTACTAAGTATTGTGGACCACTTCCTATCTGAACTAGTCTACCTGATTCCCTCCTTTCAGCATTCCTAATAATCTTCCTCCTCCTTTTAACACCCTATCTAACAGCACCCTCTGCTTTTGCAACCCTAATGTCATGTCGCTGTCCCAGTTTTTCACTCTCCTTCCCTATAGATAACCCTAACACTATCGAAAATTCCCTCGAAGACCTGGATTCTATATTGAGTTCCCCAACCCCCACAGTAACAGCTGCCTCTAGACATAGTCTCTGAACAACTATGTGCTTAGGGCACCGTGACCGAATCAATGAATGAATACTTTCATTTACATTTTGCGTTATCCCCTGCAGGCAACGTTGCAACAGTACCTCAGACGTTTTTCATAGACTTCCTCTACATAACCTGCCACAAGAGGATTCAGATAGGCTGCTGCTGTGTGTTGAGCAACACCTTTAGCCAGAGCTTTTTTGTAGAAGCACCAGGAGCCTACACCATCAGGACAATCTTCATGATGTGGTTCATCCGGTGCTGGCGCCAGGTTATTCAGCACCCTAGGCGCAAAACTTATTAAAAGCGCGCCCCCCCCCCCCCCCCCCCGCAATTTTTCATCATGCCCCTGTATTGTCAGAGGCGTAGCGACCCTTCCCGGCGCCCGGGGACAAACTTTCGATTTGCAACCCTCCTCAAACTTTCAATTTGCACACCCCCTTCCCCACCCTAGGCAACCGCCTAGTTCGCCTTATAGGTAGCACCGGCCCTAGGTTCATCGTCTGTTGATGTGCAGTGCAGAAAACTTGCCCATATAGCTTTTTGCATATCTGGCACATTACTGCTAGATCTACCAGCCTTGGTGTAGTACTTCTGGAGTTTCTTTATTTTGTCCTGGGTTAGGCGACACAAGCCTCAACCACCAAGGGTTATTTTTTTGTTTCTTTTTTGTGTCGACTAAGGTGCGCAAAGCAGTGCCCAAACATTTTGCAACATGGTTGATACATTCCTGTTTTTGCACTAATAAGCCAGGATATGGGTCTGCCTTGTGGATAGCCTTGATGGTATTGGTGTCGCCATCTGAAACCACAGAACGGTAGCGGAGTCCATGGCATGTTATAGAACGATTCCACATCGTAACTGCTGCCTTTGGGAAATAAGTTTTTAGGCAATCAACACATTCTGACATATGGCCCTTGAGCAATTCTCATCCAGGCATTTGTCATGGATATTATTTAGTTATAATATAAGTTAAGTTAGCTATAATAAATTATAAAATTAAATACCTCAACTCTATGCCGTAGGTTTAGATGTACTATATATATAGTATAGTAGTAAGTTAAAATTTTAATTTAGGCTTAGACAGAAGTTTTAAAGACATATAATATATTGTCATATACTTTAATTAATTAAATCTAGATCTAGATAGTAAGTAGATAGATAATAATAGTATAGGCATATTAAGTATTACTAAATAGTAAATAAAAATTAGCATGAAAATACTTATAAAATATTATTTAATATTATTATTATTTAAGGCAGGCCTAGGCTAAACATTTAGTGCTTTAGTAAACATTACAATGATCACCCTCTTGTTTTTCAAAAAACTGTGTATGCTTGACGGAACAGAAAGAGCTAAACTTGCTCTGTCTGACATCTTATTCTGATCTAATCATCTTGATCTGTTATTTGAAGAAAGTGTCAAAATTTTAACAACCAAGAAAGGTAACTCCAGTTTTCTCAATAACGATAACTTTTCTTTTTAGAATATCGGCAGGCAGCCACGGTTGGAGGGGGTGGGTGGGTGGGGGGGGGGGGGAGATGGGAGGGTGTTATGATTGGGGGGAGTGGATTAAGGGAAGTAATTTAAAAGTCATCCATCTACAACCCAGTATCGCTAACAGGCGGTCACTGGTTAACGTATATATTCTCTATAATAATTTCATTAATTATTTGGAGAGGGGGGGGGGGGGGTAGGGCAGAGGCGTAGCTAGGGGAGGGCGGGGAGGGCGGCCGCCCCGGGCGCCGACCTCAGGGGGGCGCCAAAAGGGGTAGAACATTTTTTTACAAGCTCATTTTAAGCTGCAGTTTAGAATTATAAACAGTCAAAGTAAAGAAATTTAACCGCTGAGAGCGTTTGCATACTGATTTAACTGTTTTCTAACTTGATTGTGTAACTGTAAAAGGTATATCCTTAAGAAACAGTGACCGGAAAAACTGCTTTCCAGCTTTCCTAGATGGGGGGGGGGGCGCTTTTTCGAAGACTAAAATCGGAAAAATTAAGGAATAAATAACCCATATCACTCAGAAAAGAACCCATGGAACTAAAACGTATTTTACGATTGTGTAACATAAAAACACAAATTATTGACGTTTAACATCCACTGTACCATTTTTGTCCAAGATGGTGGGGAGAGGGGGGGGGGGGCGCTTTTTCACCAACAAAAATCTCAGGATTTGTATTGGATCGGTTACTAGATAACTCTTTTAACACCTAGAAAATAAATGTGTTTCCTCTAGCTTGT